ATACACTGTAATGCCTTTTGGCTAATGCCTTTTGGCTTGAGAAATGCAGGGGCTACCTATCAAAGGGCAATGAATTCTGTTTTCCATGATATGATAGGGCATTCCTTGGAAGTTTATATTGATGATGTGGTGATTAAATCACCAGAGGAGGGGAACCACATGACAAATCTGAGAAGAGCATTCCTAAGAATGAGGCAACATAAACTAAAAATGAACCCAAAGAAGTGCGTTTTTGGAGTTCAAGTGGGAAATTTCCTAGGATTCTTGGTCCACCAAAGAGGCATAGAGATCGACAAAAACAAAGCAAAATCCATCATAGAAGCTTTGCCGCCTAGAAACAAGAAGGAACTACAAAGTATCTTGGGAAAAATTAATTTTTTAAGGAGATTTATATCCAATTCTGCAGGAAAGATCCAGCCTTTCTCTTCTTTGTTAAGATTAAAACAGGAACAAACCTTTAAATGGGAAGAACAGCACCAACAAGCTTTTGAGGAAATCAAGCATTACCTCTCGAATCCACCAGTTCTGTCCCCACCAAAGAGAGGCAGACCACTCAAGCTCTATATATCTGCATCAGAAATATCCATTGGAAGTTTATTAGTTCAGGATAACAAGGAAGGGAAGGAACAGGCAGTCTACTACCTGAGCAGAACTCTAACAGAGGTGGAAAGAAAATATTCTGCAATTGAAAGACTTTGCCTAGCCTTGTACTTCACTGCTGTGAAACTCAGACATTACATGCGGCCGTACACCATCTATATCATTGCCAAAATAGATATGATCAAATACATGCTAACAAGACCAATGCTGAGAGGCAGAATTGGAAAATGGACCCTGGCCTTAACAGAATTTTCCTTCAGATATGTTCCTCAGAAAACCGTCAAAGGACAAGCTGTGGCAGACTTCCTAGCAGACCATCCCGGGGAGGAGATTGAAAATATGGATTCTTTAGACATAGCAAATGCAGATCTATTAACCAGAGCTCACACCTGCCTCAACAATCCTATCTATTCAGTTCACCTTGCACCTTGGAAATTATACTTTGATGGATCAAAAACTGATATAGCTTCCGGAGCAGGGATTGTTTTGGAAGAACCACTTGGAATCAGACACTGCTACTCTTTCCAATTGGATTTCCAGTGCACCAACAACAGGGCAGAATATGAGGCTCTAATCATTGGCTTGGAAATACTGGTAGAACTAGGAATCCAATCTGTGGAAATTCTGGGAGATTCCATGCTGGTTTTAAAACAAAGTGCTGGGGAATACAAGTGCCTAAGCCCTTCACTAGCCGTCTACTTGGTGGCAGCTAGGAATCTTCTGACAGAATTCAGAGAGGCCACTTGGGAACATATCCCAAGGGAAGAAAATTTTGCAGCTAATGAGTTGGCTCAGGCGGCAACAGGCATACAAATGCCCGAGGATTGTGTACAAAGAATCATCAGGATAGGAAAGAAAAGCCTGCCATCTGTTCTAACCAGGGGAATGGAAATAGATGTCAATTCTGCCACAATCACTGAAGATGATTGGAGAAATCCTATCATGACCTATTTACGATATCCAACTCTGCC